TGTGTGTGTGTGTGTGTGTGTGTGTGTGTGTGTGTGGCCAGCTCAGCCCACCAGGGGGCGGGGCTGGCTGACATGTGGTGCTGGGGGATCGAACCACGGTCCCTGTGCTTTGCCGAGCTTGTTCTAAGTAGGTGCTTTAGACCACTGAGCCATCTCACCAGCCCCTAAGTGATCTTTATTAATGATTCATGTTCAGTTATTTCTTATCAGTTCTTCAATTAATCATACAAGTATTATAAGTTACTTTCCATTTGCTGAGGGAATTTAAATGTAAAATAAATACAAAATACATTTGTGGTTTAATGAACACTTAAGGAGGCTTTTTGTTTCCTGAGGTATTCCTTTTGGCCTGGTTTTATCCCAGATCTGCTTATTTCTGCAGGAGTAGTCTATTAAATCACACGATGGATCTGAAAAATCATGGGCCAAGTTCACTGTGAGCCAGTGAACTTGAGTTTTTACTACATATTAGACATTTTTTTAAAAATCTCATCATACAATATCAATACAAAAGCACCACCCGTGCCTCTCAATACATTGGACCAGGCACCTTTGAAGAAAGCATCGGCTCCTTCACCTTTTGCAATCTTCCTCCAGCAGTCAATTGTTCCTGTAATCCCAGACTACATCATCATCCTACAATGAACAGTGTCAAAGGGGCAGGACACCAGCCCCGCCACTGCAGTCACAGTCTGAGCAATCATCCAGCTCACAATAATGTGCACGTTCTTGGGGTTGGGTAACATCCCGTTGGCAGTGTCATAGTCACCGAAGTAGGCGGCCCTGTAGATAATGATGCCCTGGACAGAGACGTTGAAACCCTGGCAGAGACCCCTTAGGCCATCCGATTTGAAGATCTTGGTGATACAGTTGCCTAGACCAGTGAACTCACGCTGGTCTGGACCCTTGCCCACATTGGCGGCCAACCTGGTCCTAGCAAAGTCCAGCGGGTAGACAAAGCAGAGAGAGGTGGCCCCAGCTGCCCCACCAGGTTACCGGCAAAGTAGCACCAGAACTGCTTATGTCGATCCACACCCCCCAGGAAGATCTGCTTGTACTCGTCCTTGAAGGCGAAGTTGAGCGCTTGGGTGGGGAAGTAGCGGATCACGTTGGCCAGCGTACCCTTCCAGAAGGAGAGAAAGCCCTGCTCCTTGGGGATTCTCACCACGCAATCAATGATCCCTTTGTATGGTTTCTCAGCACTGATCTGTTTGCTGGTATGCTGGACCTGGAGCAGCAGCTTGACTCTCTCTATGGGGGCGACTGCGATCTTGGAGACGGCAGCGGTGATGCCACCTGCCAGGAAGTCCTTGAGGAAGCTCAGAGCCTGATCACCCATGGCGGCAGCCGGGTGCACACAGCCTGCAAAGAGCCGCGCTCTCGTTCTTGCCTGCACCCAGCCAGGCACCGCCACGCTGCCTCCGACACTGCGCAACGCCAAGGGGCTCAATAAGTAAATTTAAAAGAATAATAATAAAAAGAAATAAAATAAAATGGAAAGATATTCCTTGCTTGTGGATAGGAAGAACCAACATGGTGAAAATGGCGATAGTCCCAAAATCGTGATCCAGATTCAACGCAGTCCCAATTGAAGTGCCATTAGTAGGCCTCACATATCTCGAGAAAACATTCCTAACATTCATCTGGAACCAGATGAGACCTAGAATAGCAAAAGCAATCCTGGGCAGCAAATGAAAGACAGGAGGCATAATCCTTGACTTGAAATTATACTACAAAGCTACTGTGATAAAATCAGTAAGGTACAGGAAAAAAATTTAAAAACAGTGCTTCTAAGGGTCAATAGAACAGATTAGAAGATGCAAACACAACTAGAAATAGACTCAGCCACTTATCTTTGACAAAGGGGCCAACCATCTCCACTGGAAGAAAGATAGCCTCTCTAATAAATGGTGCTAGAGGGGCCGGCAAGATAGCTCAGTGGTCTAAAGCACCTGCTTAGGCAAGTTTAGGCAAGCATGCAGGGACCATGGTTCAATCCCCAGCACCACATGCAGTACAAGCCCCATGCCCAGGGTGGGCGGAGCAGGCCACAATATGAAATGGTGTTGGAAAAATTGGCTTTTCACATGCCAAAGGCTAAAATTAGACCCATGTCTTTCACCATGCACTAAAGTCAAAAGGGATCAAAGATTTAAATATTAAGAGAGAGAGCCACTACTCCTCCTTTTCGCTCTCTGGTCTATGCCACCTCCATGAACTGCTGCTCTCTGCCATGTGCCACTCTGCCTTGGAGCCTGCTGAATATGGACTGAAACCTCCAGTAACTGTGTGGGGTATTTTTCCCAGCAACGACAGAAGAGTTACTGAGGTTGCCAAGGGAAATAATGCTGTCTTACTGCTGGAAAACAAGTACAATGTGATTGAGAGAAAAACGCACAGCAGAATGTCTGCAAGAAAGTCTAGGGGCTGGGGAAATAGCTCAGTAGAATAAGTGCTTGCCTGGCAAGCACAGGGTCCTGAGTTCAATCCCTAGCACCGGAAGAAAACAAAACAAAACCAGAAAGTCTGTAAGACTGCTCCCAACACAATTTGCTCTCACCAGCAGGAGTAGACCTGGATTTGTGAATTTAAACAATGCTTGTGCTCAGCTGTGTTTTTCCATGATGGCACAGCAACTGTGAAGAACAGTAGCCATGGCCCTCCGCTGTCCCATGGCCTCAACGAGGGTCACAAGGTGACTAAGAATGTGAACAAACCGCGTCGCAGACGCCTCACTAAACACACCATGTTCGTGCAGGACATGATCCGGGAGGTGTGCGGCTTCACCCCCTACAGTGGGGCGCCGTGGAGCTGCTCAAGGTCTCCAAGGACAAACGCGCCCTCAAGTTCATCAAGAAAAGGGTGAGGACGCACATCCGCGCCAAGAGGAAGCGTGAGGAGCTGAGCAGCGTGCTGGCCGCCATGAGGAAGGCGGCTGCCAAGAAGGACTGAGCCCCTCTGGAATAAAGCTTTGCAGGAGAGGAAAATTAAATTAAATAGGTAAGATGTTCACATGGTTGGAACAAGAACTCTACTAGTACCAAACTATGCTCCTCCCTAACCTTTATGTTGTGCCCTAAAAGAATTAGCAGAGAAATTTGGAGCATACACAAGCATGCGTGTACAAATTTCGTGTTCTCCAGGCTGTGAAGGAAAAGGCTCCTTTCTCTCCTGTTGGTGGGAGTGTAGCCTGGTGCAACCACTGTGGAAATCAGTGCGGAGAGCCCTCAAACAAAACAAAAACAATAAAAACCTGGGACTAGAGGTTCCATTCCACTCAGCTATTCCTTCTTCTTGGCATCTTCCTGAAAGAATTAAAGGTAGCATAACCACAGTGAAATTCGCACACCCATGTGTATAGCAGCACAGTTCATAATAGCTAAGTCTTGGAAATGGCCCAAATGCCCATCAACTGATGAATGGATAGAGAGGACACAGGGGTTTTGTGTACAATAGAATACTACTGTGCCATAAGAGGGATAAGCTTGGGACATTCCTAGGTAAGTGGATGCCCTTGAAATGGCACTCTTAAGTGAAATAAACTGGACACACATATAAATACTTCATTATTTCTCTGTTTTGAGAAACCAAAGTGAAAGTAGGGACCAAAATGATAATAGGCATTGTGAAAAGAAAATATTCTAATGGGAAAGGGAACTAGGGGTGGGGAGGTAGGAAGGAAAGAAGGGAAAAAGAAAAAAAGAAGGTGAGAAAAAAAAAGAAAGAATGGAAACAAATCTTTTGTAAATAAGAAGAGGAAGAGGGGTTGAAGGGGAGAAAAAGAAGAATCAAGTTGTATCCTGTAGAGGTACAAATTACCTGTGAGGAATGTGATCATTATGTATACCAAAAATGTAGCAATATACTTAATTAATTAAAATAAATAAACATGGGGCTGGAGAGATGGCTCAGTGGTCTAAAGCACCTACTTAGAACAAGCTTGGCAAGGCATCAGGGACCGCGGTTCAATCCCCCAGCACCACATGCCGGCCAGCCCCGCCCCCTGGTGGGCTGAGCTGGCCACACACGCACACACACACCTCTCTCTCTCTCTCTCTCTCTCTCTCTCTCTCTCTCTCTAATAAATAAAAATTAAAAAAAATTTAAATAAAATAAATAAACATTAAAACAGAAACACAAATATAGTGGAGGGGAAAAGTCGGTAGAAATCTTGAAGACATAGGGATAGGCAGAGAGTTCATGACCAAAAACCAACTGCACAGGAAATACTTCGGAGAATCAATAAGTGGTATTGATACAGGGAGAAAAACTGGTCGGGGGGGGGGGACCTCCAAACCATATAGGGAACCTCCAAATGACGTAGAGAAAAACGATCTCCCAACCTGACCTGCATGAGTTCGTGTTCTCTAAAACCGAAAAATGAATTTTAGGAACAAATGGAGGTTATGAGCAGAATATATTTATTGAGAGGAAGAAAGTTCCTGTCCCTAGAGGGACAGGAGGGGGCCCGAGCGGGTAGTTCCCCAGGAAGCTGTCTCCTCCAGGGATTTTTATAGTGTAAAACCACGCGAGGGGGCTAAGGTGGAGAGAATGGGAACTTGCTTAGGTGGGCAGGAGGTGGGACCAAACTATGCTCAACCAATGAGATTACAAGCACCATTGCTCAGGTATAACTGATTAAATCCAGTATCAAATGGGAAAGCGAGTCGCGTAGCAAGCGGGCATGAATAGGAACAGGGTCTCTTCCTGTTGGGGGTTGGGTTAGTGATTCATTTGGGCTCTTTCAAGTTGACTGATACTATTTAGTGTATCAATCCCTAATACCCATCCCTAGGGAAGTATGTAGCTGTGCTTCCTCTTTCCTTTGTCTTGGTCTTGAGGTGTGGCCCACATGTGAGTGTCTGTCTCTTTCAAAAGTTGCAATGTCACCTTGTCTTCCTTCTTGTCTCCTTGAGGGCCTGGCCCTGTCTGACTGCCTAGAATATTTTTGTCTAACTCGGCTGCCTGCAACAGTATCTCATCTATTTGAAAAGTCGTTTCACATCAAAAGAAATCACCAACAAAGTAAAAAGAAAACCCACAGCAATCCTAACCCAGGCCCGACATTTTTATAGAAAACATGAAGCTGTGGATAGGACTGCAGCTCTGGAATCCAAAAGTCTTAGGAGAGAATGACTCCAGGATGTCATGTCTGTATCTTGTACTATGAATAACCACTAAGGAGACAACAATATGCAACGTAGTAATTATTGAAACTATCCTACTAATCGGTTTTGAAACTGTCTCATTGC